AATTTTAAATTCCTTTTAAAATCATAACATTTTTTTTTAAATTTAAATATTTGGCGTGAAATTATATTTTCTGTTGGTATTAAGGAAACAGATTAACTGCTTAAATAGTGATATTTCAATTTTGATTGAGTTTTGTGTATAAAATATAAATAAAAGAAAATTGGAGTAATCACACGTTTCGCGTTAATAGGCGGGGTATTGATCGCAAATATTAGTAAATATACACACTTTCGTGTAGTCATGTTGTTGACAGGCGCCTTTTACGCGAAGGGTTGAACCTCACGTCATGTGCGAAGTGACGTGAGACATGTAACTAAGGACCGACTAACATCTGACTTACAACGTTCGCATATTAATAGAACCTAATATACGTTGCCACCCGCTGCTTTCACGACAAGTGCCGTTGTGTCATTCGTGTTTTCTTTGCGGACAATAATACTATTATATGTTTTCACGTTCGCAGCTCTAAAATGCCAAAATTCCAAATGCATGAATGAATATATATACCTTTTTTTTAATCCTCTGTTAAAATGTGTCCTAATTTTAATTTAATATTTTTCAAAAAATTTTTTCTTTTTTTCTTATAAACAAGTTTTAGTAGTAGTTAGTTAAATTTACAATTTTTGCAATAATTACATTTCAGACATTGTGAATTTTAATGTAAAAACTAAATTTTATTTTCTGTTCATGTTTGGCTTAAACCTAGAACCTGACTGAATTTTAGCCTTCGGAGTATGGTTTTAAGTGCTAAAGTTGTCTTAATCTAGTTTTAAGCTTAAATGGACTAATTTTAAATCATTTTAGTTTTTAGATGTAAATGTTATGATCTTAAACCTTAAAATTGACTTTATCTAATTTTAAGATTGTAAATTTTATGATTTTAGCTCCTAAAATTGACTCAATCTAGTTTTAAGCTTAAAATAGGCTACTTTTCAACTGTTTTGATTTTAAGATCTAGTCGGTTGCACAATAAAAATAGAAATTAATTTTTTCCTATTTCTTACTAAAGCCGTTTACACAAGAACCATTTGTTTCTAAAATTTTAACCTTCACAGTATGATTTCAAGTCCTAAAGTTGACTTAATTTAATTTTAAGCTTAAAACTAATATAATAGACTAATTTTAAATCATTTTAGTCGCAAACATTTAATTTTTTTGTAAGTAATAAAATTTTCACTAGAATTGAATTATTTAAAAAAAAATTTTAATTTTGGAAAAAAATCAATTTAAACACTTTTTATAAAATTCTACCGCAATAATTTAATTATTTTCACAAGCAATTACATTTTTTGCGAAAATTTAATTATTTATTAAAATTTAAATAAAATTCCAGTCAAGAATACAATTATTTATCGCATAAATAATAAAATGCTTCTCAAGAATTTACTTTCCTATACTTTTAAAAATTTTAATAAAATACTTCACAAATATTCAATTATTTTCTCAAATAATAAAATTTTTCAGGAGAATTCAATTATTTAAAAAGAATTGAATAAAATTCTTCGCAGAAATTCAATTATTTTCAAAAATTTTTAAAAATTCCACGTCGAAATTTCAGTTATCTTTCAAAATAATAAAATTATTCTCCAAAATTCAATTATTTTCAAAAATTGGAATTAAATTCTTGGACAAAATTTAAATTGTTTTCAAAAATTTTCATCAATTCAATCATTTTCAATATCTACTATATTTCATAATAATATTTTTCAAAAGATTTCAATAATTTAAAAAAAGTGTTGATAAAATTTAAAGCAAACATTAAATTATTTTTTAAAAATAATAAAATTTTTTAACGAGATTCAATTATTTTCAGGAATAATAAAACTGATCATAGAATTTCAATTATTTTTAATACAATTTTAATCGAATTCCTCAAAAATGTAATTATTTTTGAAAATTTTATTAAAATTCGTCAAAAAAAATTCAATTATTTAAAAATTTGTTGATTAAATTCTTTATGAGGATTCAATTTTGAAAAACATTTATTTATTCAATAAATTATTTATTTTTGTAATTAAATAATTGAATTCTCGGTGAATTTTCTAAGAAAAATTGATTTAAAATTAAATTTCAGTTAAAATTTTACAAAATAATTGAAGATTAAAAGCATCATAGCATGAATCTACAAAAAGAATTTATTTTTGAATATTTTTGAAAATAATTACATTTTTCGAAGAATTTACTTAAAATTGTGTTAAAAATAATTGAAATCTTGTGAAAAATTTTATTATTTAGAAGAATAATTCAATTCTTACAACGAATTTTTGTTAAATTTTGTTTAAATAATTGAAGTCCTGTGAAAAATTGTATTATTTATGAAAATAATTGAATTCTTGAAGTTTTTTTAAATAATTGAAATCCTGTAAAGTATTGTATTATTTATTATGGAAATAATTAAATTTTTGCAACGCATTTTATTACATTTTTTTTTTAAATAATTGAATTTATTTAAGAAATTTTATTAAAAGAGTAGATTTTGAAAATATTTGAATTTCAGTGAAAAATTTCATGATTTCTAAAATGTAATTGAATTCTTGCAAAAAAATTTTTGAAAATATTTACATTTTTCGAGAAATTTGTTTACAAAATTGTATTAAAAATTATTGAAATTCTATGAAAAATGTTATTATTTATAAAAATAATTGAATTCTTAGAACAAATATTAAATTTTTAAAAATATTTGAATGCATGTGAAATTTTTATTAATTATAAAAATAATAATCTGTTAGCGTTGAATATTATTAAAATTTTGTTTAAATAATAGAATTCTTTTGGGAAATTTTATTAATATAGTAGATGTTGAAAAATCATTGAATTGAGGAAAATTTTTGAAAATAATTGAAATTTTGTCAAGAATTTTATTACAATTTATGAAAATACGTTAAATTCTTACAAGGAATTTTTATTAAATTTTTTTTTTTAATAATTGAAATCCTGTAAAGAATTGTATTTTTTTATAAATATATAATTAAATTCTTGCAATAACGCATTTTATTACATTTTTTTAAAGAATTAAATTCATTTAAGAAATTTTATTAAAATTGTAGATTAAAAATGATTGAAATCCTATGAAAAATTTTATTATTTATGAAAATAATTGAATTTTTATAACGAATTTTATTAATTTTTTTGAAATAATTGAATTCATGCGAAAAATTGTATTACCTGTAAAAATAATTGAATTCTTGGGAAGGATTTTATTAAAATTTTTGTAAATAATTAATTTTTTTTTAAAAAATTTAAATTATTATAAAATACGAAGATATCGATTACTCCGAGTCGAAGACTCGGAGTGATCGATTTCTTCATGTTTTATATTAAAATTCTTAAAAGTTGTTGATTTTTTCGACGTGGGTAGTTAATATAAAATACTGAAAAGAACTATATTATCTGTCTTATACACTGAATAAGAAATTATTGGTAATTTTCGATTTAAAAAAAGGATTTAAGAAAAAAGAGAAAAATTCAGCTGAGAAATCAGTGTTTCATGTTATAACAGAGGGGAAATTGACGAACGTAGACCTCTCTCGCTATAAATGATTCCACAGACTCAACCACTTCTTACATATTCATTTGCGCTCCTTTACAGGCAATAAACGCAAACTTCGCCGTCTCATGCACCTGCAACGTTCGTTGCACCGGGTTCTCGGTAATAATCTTACACTATCAAATAATTCTTATTGATATATACACACTTCTATTTATTCTCCTTTATAACATTTCACGTATAATTGAGAATAAGCATTTCAAATTTAAGATATACAAAATCCGAAAGAATATTCTTGAAAATAAATTTCTATATCACTTATGAGTTGATGATAAGAAACATTATTGTAATTTTACAATTTAAGTTTGCAAATGATTTTTATCGAGTATAATCTTCATGTTAATAACTTCCAAATGGGAATTCTGATTAAATCTGGTAATTATTAAAATATAGGAAGATTTTAAGTTAAATTTAATTTGAGTAAAGTTATCTTGTGCCGCTCTTCGTTTTTTCTGAATAATTCAGTGCATATTATGTGGATTATATATGCAGAATAAAATTCAATCAGTATGACTTCGATTTTGTTCAATAATTGCGTAACATTAACTATATAAAGGAGAGGGAGAAAAGGAAAAAGAAAAAAAGAAGGAGAACGAGAACGAGAAGAAGAAGGAAAAGAAGAAAAAGAAGAAGAAGAAGAAAAAGGATTTTAAAGAATTTCAATGATCTAATATTTCTCAAGTTTTTCCTCTTACCAAGAAAATTGAGTAAGTGGGAAATAAATAATTGCCATTTCATTCCAACTACAAACATCATTTCTGTAAAACTTGCCAAGTGATCGACAATATTTTTTTTCTCTTGATTAATGCCAAATGTTATTTTTAAAGACTTTTAAAGACATAAATAAAAATTTATACCTATACATTTTTTTAAATGATTAATTCAACATTTTATCGATTTAAAAAATTGACATTTTAAAAAGAAAATTATTTACATTTTTAATTACTAATTATTCATTATATTATATATTTTGATTTTAAAATGTAAACGATTTCTGACAATGTTCATATTCAATGTTAATGTTCAATGTTAATGTTCAATATAAATGTTCAATGTCAAGGTTCAATGTTGATGTTAATGTTCAATGTTAATGTTCAGTGTTAATATTCAATGTTAATATTCAGTGTTAATGTTCAATGGATGATGTTTAATGTTATTTTATAATTACTTAGATTATTTTTTAAGGAAAAAAAAATTTTTTAAAGAATCAAATTTTAAAAGGAAAAAAGAAGTTTGCCTAAATGAGTAATAACTTCATTAGTGAATTAATAATAATTTTCGTGTAAAAATGTGAGAAACAAAGAAATAACTTTTTTGGCATTATGAGCGCATGAGGAATTTATTGATTGAAAAATAAGAAGAGAAAGAAGAAGGAGAGAGGGAAAGAGAGAAATAGAGAGAGAAAGATAACCGGCGGGTGCAATTGGAAAAAAAGCTTCGTTGCTTGACTTACCGGTTTCTTGCCCTTTGTCGTGCGAAAGTGAATATTTTCGGTCGGTCCCGCGTGGATGCGGGAAACGCGTGGGTGTCTCTACGACACTCGTGTCTGCCAACCCCAACATTGTCACTGATATCAATCTTTTTTTTCTTTCCTAGAGAAAAAAAACATTCACAATTTTATTTATAATCACTAGATACATATATGTGAAATTTGCATATAATTATTTCTCCAACCATTGTTTGACATTTTTTCATTTTTTGAAACTTTGTTTTTAAATAAATAATATAAATTTCTATGTATATAATAAATAATATATTATAATATAATAACATAATATATAATAATCCGTCTCAATCTAAAAAATCTTAAAACTCTCAAGGCAAGAAAATAAATAATTCAATAAAGAGTTGATATTCTAATGTAACAGCGATTTTTAGTCAAAAGAGGCCTGAAAGTAAGAATTATTTTTCTACACACTGAAAGAATAGAATTTGTGTCCGTGGTTATAAATTTTTGTGTGTGTGTCACTATTTATAATGTTCACAAAAAATATTTAAAAAAAGAAAAATGTTAATTCACTTTTTGATAAAAATTGAAATTTATATCGTATAAATTTGGAGATAAAAATTTACACACATTTAAGTGTGTCAGAAAACAAATTTGACAATTTTAATAGTATTACGCATTATATATATATAGGAATAAAATTTCACAAATGCAATGTAAAAGTTTTTTTTTAAATTCGCATCACTTTAACCCAGATTTATTTATAAAAAAAAAAAAAAATTAGCGACAGCTGGATTTCGAAATGAAATTAGAAACTTTCTTATCATGAAAGTTTGCCACCTCGCGCAAAATTGCAAAATTGAAAGTAGAGAGTTCTAATTCTGGCAAAGTTTCATAGATATTGTTGTGTAAATAACTATTCATTTATAAATACTAATTTAGCGACTCATTATTAGTATTATTATTATTATTATTATTATTATTATTATTATTATTATTATTATTATTATTATTATTATTATTATTATTATTTTTACAAAAAAAAATTTAAAAAGAAATTTTTTTAAAATTATTATTATTATCATTATTATTATTATTTTTATTACTAGCAACAATTCGAGTGCGACCAACTTTTTGTCACTATAATTCATAATAAAAATTTTAAATTTATTATTAAAAAATAAATAAAAAAATAATTACAATATAATCTATGAAAACTTAACGAAAAATATTCATTCATGTTTATTGTTATTATTATTTCTATTACTGTTTATTATTATTATTCGGTTTTTGTTAAAACTGGTTTTTGTTACAAATTATTATTATTATATTTTAATTATTAAATAGTAACTCATTCGTGGTGATTATATTAAAGGCTCCCGATGAAAGTACCGGTTAAAATTTTTTGAGGCTCAAAATTTTCGACCTCTAATAATAAAAATAGGATTTGAAATTTTAATTTCTTATAATTGTTAAAGATAAATTTTGAATTTTTTTTTTTTTATAAATTCTTATTTTACACAAAATTCAGTTTTAACCATTTGCTAAACAAATTATAGTTAACACAAGAATTTAAAATAAAGATCCCACCGCTGCCACCATTTTGTCAAAATAAGAATTTTGATTAACAAATTAAATATTCAAAATTCTTAATAGTTATACTTTAACAGTAATTATTTCGTATTTGTATAAAGATTGCAAGAATTTGATTTGAAACTTTTTAATTTTTGATTCATTGCACAATGATTTTCAGCTTAAAAAACTTATAACCTGTTCTTTGATCGGGACCTTAAATAAAGCGGAGGAAAAATGCAATTAATGAGCAGTAAAGGTAATTTAAAATTAAGCTTACAGCAATTTTAAATTAAAAAAATAAATTGAAGAGCTGATTTGATTATCGTTTAGCTAACATTGTATTGAGTATATAGCAAATTAATGTTGCAAATTAAGATTGAAAGAGAGAAGAAAATCTGGAAAGGTGAACACTAATGGATTCCTCGTGGATATGTCGTTAGGGAACATATCTTTATGCCGGGTAGAGCATTTGCGAGGAGGCTGATGAGATTTCGATCGACCGTCAACCTCTCAATAGTCGCGCTATTCTATATATATATATATAAAATAGAAGTAATACAGATGATCTGAGCGCGATCGTAGAAGTGATTTGCGCGAAACTCAGAAGAAATCGACCGTTATAGAGTCTCTTAAGTCGAGAGATAGGTTTATATAAAGTCGCACAGTCACGTTTCCATCCTTTCCAAGTTTTGTCGCGTATGAAAACCCGCAAAGGCGTCAAGAGACTTCTTTCTCTCTTTTTCGTCTTTACAAGACAACTTTTTCGTTAGAACAAAATTTAAACAATATAACAAATATTAAGTTTTGTATTTAGTCAACGTTTTCGCGTATAACTTTTTAAAATAATTTTTAAACCGTTTTTAACTTAAATTTGCATGGCAAATTTAAGTTATAAACGGGTTAAAAATTGTTTTAAAAAGTACATGTGTACATGTGCCTATGTGTACAAGAGTATTTGTCTATATGCGCATATGTGTCATGAGTATTTGTCTATATGTGCATATGTGTACATGTGTATTTTAAGTAAATTGTTTAAAAATTGTTTTAATAAGTACATGTGTACATGTGCCTATGTGTAGAAGAGTATTTGTCTATATGCGCATATGTGTCATGTGTATTTGTCTATATGTGCATATGTGTACATGTGTATTTTAAGTACATTGTTTAAAAAAATATATGTGTACATGTGCCTATGTGTACAAGAGTATTTGTCTACATGCGCATATGTGTCATGTGTATTTGTCTATATGTGCAAATGTGTACATGTGTATTTTAAGTTTAAGAAACGTATTTTAAGTTAGAAGCGGTCTAAAAATTGTTTTAAAAAGTATATGTGTACATGTGTCCATGTGCACATGAGTATTTTTCTACATGCGCATATGTGTACATGAATATTTGTCTATATATGCATATGAGTACATGTGTATTAGTCTATATGTGCATATGTGTACATGTGTTTTTGTCTATATGTGTCACTTATCATAAGTTATAAGTCGTTACAAGTACACATGTGTATTTCTGTATTATATATGTGCTGTGTATTTGTACATGTGCTCCTCTCTAAATCTGAATACGTGAAATTTAAGTTAGAAGTCGGCAAAAAATTGTTTAAAAATTCTTACGCGATCTGTACCTGGAATTATACCCGGAAGTCACGCAGATGAGACGTTACAATTTTCCCCCGAAAAATTTGGACCCGATGCGCGATGATAATATCTCAGCGACATTAAGAGATCGTGGGAGCATTGAAGGAGAATTCTGAACTGCGCGAGACTCGTAATACACGTTGGCAAAAAGGGCAAATAGGACCCATCATAGAGGGGATCCACACATTAAGGCCGCCTTCGCGGCTCGCTTCTGCAATAATTGGCGACCTTCCCTCTTCCACGAAGGAATGCTCTAAGGCATGTTTTGCGCTTAAAGCGTCTCTTGAGACGATGAGCCCCGAGACTCCCAAGTGTATATATACTGGACCGATCCTCTTGGCGCATCCACGCGAGGCTCATGCATTGCATACACACATACATACATACAAGCATGCACATGTATATTTATATGTACATGTGCTTATGTATACATGTGTATATGTACATGTGCTTATGTATAAATGTGTATATGTGCTTATGTATACATGTGTAAATGTGTATATGCGCTTATGTATACATGTGTCTATGTGTACATGTGTATATGTGTCACTTATTATAAGTTATAAGTCGTTACAAGTACATGTTTATTTGTGTATATGTGCTACTCTCTAAATCTAAATATGTGAAATTTCACTTATTATAAGTTGTAAGTCGTATAAGTCTCGTTATAAGTACATGTGTATATGTGCATATGTGCATATGTGCATAAGTGCACATGTGCATATGTGTACATGTCTATATGTGCTTAAGTGCACATGTGCATATGTGCACATGTATGTTCATATATATGTACAGGTACAAATGTGTATATATGTGTACATGTGCACATGTGCATAGTATGTATGCATGTGTGTGCACAGGTATGCATATACATGCACATATGAAGAAGTGCCTTGTGACATAATGACGGAAGAAGCCGGTTGACGGAATGACGAAACGGCGGAACGCGTCAATATAAATAATATCGCGTAATTGCAGCGCCCATGGTCGGTAACATGTAAGAGGCCGCCCGGGAGTTTCAAATGATTGTTGTGGTCCATTTGGCCTCCCAAAGTCGCTCTCTCCCCCTCCTCTGAGTTTTTTTTATCCTCTGTTTTTATCTATCCAAGATCATTGACCTCAATGAAATCATCATCATCATCATGATCATCATCATTATTACAAATTTCTTATAACTAAAAACACATTTTTAAAGAATATAAAAACAATTTTATTTTCGCAAAAATTCTTCTGATGCGGCTTTCACCTATATAGAGAAAACCGTGAGGCATTAAATTATGATTAAACGCTCTTATTTCGATATACTAAATTCGATTAAAATAGGTTAGAATATGAATTAAAATAATTGTAACTTGTTGTGCTCTAACAGGTTTAGAAAATTTAATCGCATTTTTCTTTATTATTGTTTATTTTGTTCATTTATTTTATTATTCTATGTTCATAGAGATGGATTTAGACTTTATTGATTTAGACTTATTTTCCCTTTATTAATGATAATCATATATTTATTTAAATATTAATATCATTTAAATGTTATATACAAATTCTTTTCATTTTATTGAATGCAATTTTTTGCAATTTTACTCTTCACACTTGTGCTAAATAGTTTGCGAAAAGTTTTCGTCATTATCCCCCGGATATTGGATTAATGTCTCCTTAAATTCATACAATCATCTCATCGATAATTGATTTCCCAATTTTATATAAATGGACATAAATATATACTATATTTCCCTTACACTGTTTTATTGTACATTTCCCGAACATTTTACCCACATAGCACAATAGTATGAGGTAAGGTTATGTTGAGTACTAATCGTAAGGCTCATAAGGTTACACGATATTGCGGTGGTAGACCTGAGGTGAACTAAAAACTTCCGCCATGGAGGTAAGGTTACATGTTAGGGTGTGGTGACTA